TATTCTATTCTATTCTATTCTATTCTATTCTATTCTATTCTATTCTATTCTATTCTATTCTATTCTATTCTCTCAATTTATTACAATGCAACTCAAACATTGGATGGAAGACAGTTATGTCTGCCTACTCTTTTTTTTCAATTTCTCTATCTCTTGTTTTTAGAACAGAAAGTTGTATTACCTCCCGATGTACTCTAATGAATTCACGGGGATCTCCTTTTGCCCATGGAGGAAGGATTACATCTCCAAGTTTGGTGCCATTCTGTTTGCAACCTATAAAACAAAAATATACTTATATCTTGAATACTGCATAATTCTCTGTACTTGCATGCCTCCTTGGAAGATTGGAATATTATTCTATCTATAAGAGAGGAGCATAAAACATTAATTTTATTTTCTGAAAGCAACAGGCAGGCCTCGGTGTGTTTTATTTTCTTATAAGAAGGCCGAGATCCACCACCTAGCGCTTCATATAAAGAAAATACACAATTAAAAGAATATGACTCTTTCAGGTCAAAGATTAAGGATAGTTCTTATTTGGGGAACTCTATTAAACTATGAACCCGTTTCTAAGTTTCTCCCAAGCTATTTTTACTAAAACAAAATAAATTAAGTAGGTGCTTCCTATTCTTAAACTATTATCATGACATTATTAGGTGATTTCTTGCCAACAAGTCATAAATGTACCACAAAGCATTCCTGGTCTATTTTTTGCACACCTCTATCTAAACCAAGGGTTCCCAACTCCTGGGCCATTGCTCATGAGTGGGCTGCAGCCTGTTTGGAATCGGGCCGCGCAAGTGGTGGGTGAGTGCGTACACGCAATTGTATTTGCAGGAGTGGCGGGTGTGCAAATGTAGCTTTGCCCGTGAACATATGCTTACCGCTTGCACAGAACTAGCAGTAGCACTTAGACTTATATACCGCTTCACAGTGTTTTACAGACCTCTCTAAGTGGTTTACAGAGTCAGCCTATTGTCCCCAACAATCTGGCTCCTCAATTTACCCACCTCGAAAGGATGGAAGACTGCGTCAACCTTGAGCCTGGTGGGATTCGAACTGCTGAACTGCAGGCAGCCGGCAGTCAGCAGAAGTAGTATGCAGTACTGCACTCTAACCACTGCGCTCAGAACCATCCCTTCTTCACCCCCTCCGCCAGGCCACCAAGCCAGAAACATTGGGGGATCGCTGATCTAAACAATATAACTCTGATCCATCCAAGTATAGAATTATGCAAGAAATAAGCAAGGGACGGGGTGGGGGGTGTGAAGCATTTTTTTAATTACTGGAAAACACATTGTAGTTGGAGGTGGCTCAAGGCAAATGACTCTCTGATACACTGGAGTAAAAGAAGGAGGAAAGGTATATGTCAGGATTCCAGCGGTTACCCCCATTTAAATAATGAGTCTCGAGCCAAACTTCCAAAACTTAAAAAGGATTTATTGGGAGTTAACATGCTGGCATTGCCTAGGTATAGCTGACTCTGAGACACATCATTCATTGTCACCCTTGATCCTGGTTTTCCCTCCACCTCCTGGGTGTATCGTAATTCATATTCTCCAATGGGAGACATCCATAGCCAAGAGTCATCAATCATGCTCTCCAGGTTAGAATCTTGCACGCTAGAAACTTCAGTCACCTAGTTGCTATCTTTGAAAACATTTGTGGAATGCAGTTTCGGTTTTGCAAGCTGCTACACTGCTTCCCCCTCCCTTTCTGTTGACAACTCTAAAAAGACCATAGAAATATTTTATAAGTTGACACTACAGCTTAATTAGATTTGGAAGATTCTGTTATAGTCAACCTTTTTATACCTACCGCCCACTTTTGTATCTCTGATAGTAGTAAAATTTTCTCTAACTGCCCACCGGTTCCACAGTAATGGTGATTTATAAAGTAGGGGACAAAACCCCTACCGCCCACCCCTGAAAGCTGGAACACCCACTAGTGGGTGGTAGGGACCAGGTTGACTACCACTGATATAACCAATCTCAATGAAGTGCTTTTCTAGTCTTCCAGTGGAATTTAGGTTTTGGTTTTGTTCTTCCTAGTGAAGCGGCAACATCCTTGTTCTCCAACCACATTATAAATCAGTTTTATGTTCTTTGGACCACAATATCTAAAGAATATACAGGCACTCCTCAAACTTATGATCATTGGTTTATTCACTATTTGAAGTTACAACAGCACTGAAAAAAGTGACTTATGATTGCGTCTCACATTTATGATTCTTGCTGTATCTCCACAATCAAATTGGCACGAATTTAGGTTTTAGTGCCCCGGGATCATGGGTCACCATTTCTTGACCTTCCCATAAGCAAAGTCAGTGAGGGAAGCTGGGTTCGATTAATGACCATCTTGATTCACTGAACAACTGCGATGATTCACTTAACAGCTGTGGCACAAAGCGTTGTAAAATTGGGCAGGGCTCACTTAACAACCACCTTGATTATTATCAAGGGAAATTCTGGTCCCAGTTGCCATCATAAGTTGAGGACTACCTGTAACTGAAAAATAGTTTCTCTCACCTAGATCGAAGTTGTTAGAATTAAGCAACAACTCTGGGAGGTAGAAGAATTCTGGGATAAGCTCCTTGACATCAGCCATATTGTGCTTGGACGCAGAGTACCAGGCTTCTCGCACACTGTGAAACATTCTGTCGGCCAAGTCGAAGTGGCCACCCTGTGGAAGGAAAAGGATATAACAGGATAACAGAGTGGGAAGGGACCTTGGAGGTCTTCTAGTCCAACCCCCTGCCTAGGCAGAAAACCCTACACCACTTCAGACAAATGGTTATCCAACATCTTTTTTAAAACTTCCAGCGTTAGAGAATTCGCAACTTCTGGAGGCAAGTTGTCCCACTGATTAATTGTTCTAACTGTCAGGAAATGTCTCCTTAGTTCTAGGTTGCTTCTCTCCTTGATTAGTTTCCAGCCATTGCTTCTTGTACTGCCTTCAAGTGCTTTGGAGAATAGATTGACTCCCTCTTCTTTGGGGCAGCCCATTAGATATTGGTACACTGCTATTATGTCATCCCTAGTCCTTCTTTTCATCAAATTAGATATCTTCATTGAAATAAATAAATAAAAATAATACCCATCTTTCATCTCCTCCCATATAAGTCGGGGATGAGAGCGGCATGTGAACTTAGCTAAAGATCAATCAATAATATTTATTCAGTCAATGACCTGCAAAATTTTAAAGAACAAAAACAGAGCAAAGAAAACTAATTCAACTAATTCAAACCCACAACTAGCAAAATAAATCACACAGCGTTCACTCCTCTAGTGCTATGTTAATACAGTTGTTACCCAGGTGATTGATAAGTAAATAAATAACTATACTTCAAAACATAAAAAATTAATAGTTCGAAAAGAGATCCGTCACGGACTATTAATTTTGGGATACAGTATCACTTTCTGATTGGGGATAGTCCAGGGAGTTCTCAACTTACAATCATTCGTTTAATGACTGCTGAATGTTACGACAGCACTGAAAAAAAGTGATTTATGATCAGTCTTCACACTTACGACTAATGCAGCATCCTCACGGTCACGTGATTCAACCTCTTGGCAACTGACTCATACTTATGACAGTCGCAGTGACCTGAGGTCATGTGTCACCTTTTGTGACCACCTTATAACACTTAATAACCATGTTATTAATAACACTTAATAACCATGTTATTAACTTAACAACTGCAGTGATTCACTTAATAACTGTGGCAAGAAAGAAAGGTTGTAAAATGGGCAAAACTCATTGAATGACAGTCGCGCTTAGCAACAGAAATGTTGGGCTCAATTGTGGTCATAAGTCAAAACTCAGGACAAAGTCACTCATGAGATTTACTCCAAAGTTGGCAGGACTAATTTACATCTAAAAAACAAATTTGCCCACCGTCTGGCCACACACATAACTCACAACGTTCTGGCATGATAAATAACAAGGACAAAAAATACCTAACAGGCTTAAGAGTGACAAATGGCTGCATGGAGCAATGCGCTGATGCAGACTTAAGTATGCTGAGAATTATGTTGCAAAGCAAGCACTGCAAAACACAGAATGGAAGGAAGCTATATATTTTACCTGCAGTCTTAAAAATATCTGTGTGAAAGGTTCCATTCGCACAAGGTATGAAGCTACTATCATTGCTGATGAATAGTGGGTGCCATAATGATAGGCCGGGGTTTCACCTGAAAGAAAACAATATTAATCAAAGCATGAGTGAAATGAAAGGTAAACTCGACCAGTTCGGTAGCTTCAGTGAATGAACAAGCTTAAGAGATTTTGAAGGAGGAGAAGGTAATAAAGTAATTTAGTTCAAAGGTTCTTCAATGGAGCTGCAGCAAATTTCCCTGAAAACTACATTTATATATCCTATCTCGGTGTTCTCCAACCTTGGCAACTTTAAGACTTGTGGACTTCAACTCTCAGAATTCCTCAGCCAGAAAAGCTGAGGAACTCTGGGAGTTGAAGTCCACAAGTCTTAAAGTTGCCAAGGTTGGAGACACCTGTCTTATCTCATTAGAAAGATTATTAGGGTTGATTCTCAACCCCAATTAAACCAAATGAAATTGATGAAACCAGGTGGAAACCATGTATCTTTTTAAATTAATGTAGACCGGGGTGTCAAACTCATGGCCCGCAGGCTGGATGCATCACATGCTGGCCACGCCTACCCCCAGTTTAGTGAAGGGGGGAAAGGTTGCAATACTTCACGTGACAACAACATGACACCATGGCTTTGACACTCTGGATGTGGAGAAAAATGAGCTATACCATATTAATATTAAAACTCTTACGGTTTGGAGAGCATATCCTCTATTTTATCTATTGTTTCAATGTTTTATGTCACTAAGATTCTGACTCAAAAGAAGTAGGAACTGGAGTAAATACAACTTATAAATCATAGACCATTTCACTTTTAGTTTTATTCATTCATCTCTTGATTTATTACATAATGGAAGAATGTCACACGGCTAAATCTATGGCTATAGAGAAAGAATGGGGAAGAGTTATGCTGATAAATAGGGCTATCCTAAATGCTGAAGGATTTTTTAATTTATTTATTAGCATGTGTATCCAAAGGCTAACCCTGAAGCTTGGCTTATACCCAGTCAATTTTTTTTACTACTACTTCTTTGGGCGTGGCTTGGTGGGCGTGGCAGGGGAAGGGTACTGTAAAATCTCCAGTCAGAGGTGGGATTTGCCAGTTCTCCGAACTACTCAAAATTTCCGCTACCGGTTCTCCAGAACTGGTCAGAACCTGCTGAATACCACCTCTGCTTATACCAATTCTAGGATACTGTGATTCATCTTTTAAAAACTGTCTTCTTTTTAAATTTAATTTGGAAGGAACTGGCTGGAAATGCTTTTAAGTTAGTGTTTTATAAACTTGACAATTTTTAAAATATTTGGATTTCAACTCCAGAATTCCCTATCCAGCATGAATTTGGGGAGTCCACACACCTTAAACTTGCCTAGTTTGAAAAACAATGTTCTAAGTGAAGAAATGCCTGACAATTAATACCCATTTTTATTCTCACAAAGGGCACAAGTCATTTCACTTAAAGCTCATCTTTCACTGAAATGGATTTCCGAAAATATTTTGTAAATGGAAAGTCAGAGGATTTGGGTTTACTTCAAACTTGCTTATTAGTTCAGTGAGAAATTGGCTTTTTTAAATAGAACCACTATATAATCATAGCCACTTTTTTAATGATATCCATGACATTAGTCAAAATTCCAAACCAAGTCTACCAGCTAAAACAATTTGCCTATATTTTGTTTGAAATATTGATGTAATACCTGGTATTAAGATACAAATTAGCATGATTTGTAAAATAGTAAAGATAATAGATTACGGTAAGCTTTTTTTTTTAAAAAATAAACATGTTATATAGAGATAGTCCTCGACTTATGACAATTGAGACCAAAATATCTGTTGCTAAGCAAGGCAGTTGCTAAGGAAGTTTTGCCCCATTTTACAATCTTTCTTGCCACAGTTGTTAAGTGAATCACCGTAGTTGTTAAGTTAGTAAATCTGGCTTCCCCATTGATTTCTGATTCTCAGAAGGTCACAAAAGGTGATCACATGATCCTGGAACACTGCAACCATCATAAATACGAGTCAGTTGCCACAGGTCTGAATTTTGATCATGGACTATGGGGATGCAACAATGGTCGTGTGAAAAACGGCCATAAGTCACTTTTTTCGGTGCTACTGGAACTTTGAACGGTTACTAAACAAACTGTTGTAAGTGGAGGACTACCTGCATGCAGAAATTCACACAGCCGACAGATTCCCAGGCTAAGAACTCACCGTTCGGATCTTCCCAGTCTTTGTAGCGCTTTTTATATTGAGCTAATCTCTCATCAGTCTGGGCCCCCATTGGTTTGGCCAAGTTTCTAAATGTCTTTGGGTTGTTAAGATCCAATTCCTTGAAAAGAAGGAGAAATAAAAGCCATCCAAGGGTTAGCAAAGGCCACTAAAATTAGAGGAAGACGGCGATCATACTTGATAAGCCAGACAAATTCATCTTGGATTAACAGTAATTCTCTGACATGAGCCTTTATCACAGATGGATCTCTAGGACTCTTTAAGTCCAAAATCTCATTATGAATTGATAATTAATTCACTAACGATATTAATAACATAATTATAACTATAATCACCAACTTTATTATTTAACATTAATAATACAGTGCATTTTAACAGTGAAGATTAATCAATTAAGAATGGACATCTCATTTTAAGACAATAGCAATAGCACTTATATATCGCTTTATAGTGCTTTACAGCCCTCTCTAAGCAGTTTACAGTGTCACCATATTGCCCCCAACAATTTGGGTTCTCATTTTACCCACTTGGGAAGGATGGAAGGCTGAGTCAACTTTGAGCCTGGTGGGATTTGAACTGTCAAATTGTAGGCAGCTGGCTGCAGCAGAAGTAGCTTGCAGAATTGTACTCTAACCACTGTGCCACAGAGGCTCCTATAAGCTACTCTTGTTTTCTACAGCAATTCAAGTTATATCTAGCCACAGAATTTAGAATGAACGCTGAAGGATCATTTCAAATATCTAGATGCTACTCTTCCATCCTTTTGAGGTCGGTAAATTGAGGATCCAGATTGTTGGGGGCAATATGCCAACTCTGTAAACCACTTAGAGAGGGCTGTAAAGCACTGTGAAGCGTTACATAAGTCTAAGTGCTATTGCTATTATGTATTAAGTAAGCAAAAAAGTTTTCTAGCCCTCATTAGGAATAAATGTAGGCTTATTTTCAACTTTGCCATGCATTGGAGTCTGTATTTACCTCTGAATCGTAGTCAGCAAGGATCCATGGAAAGACAGGATACTGCATAAGGTCATTATAGGATCGGCCCGCCAAAGTGTTTAAGTGCATCAGGTACTGGAAGTTACTGATTTCACCTCTCTTGAGAGAGAGACAGAAAGAGAAACACCAACATTTGAATTCATTTGTCAATTACAAAACTTCAAAATGTACATTTGTCTACTGCTTTATATAACCTGAACATAAAGCTCCAAGATTGCATTTTCAATATTCTGTTTCACCCCAATGTAAAAATTAAATAGAACTATTTATCCTTACCTCCCATCTTTGTGTAACAGATTTCTCCCCTACAAGAGTGCTCAGCAAGCCAGATCTAATGAGGAAAATTTAATCCATTGAATTAACAGAATTAATAATCCAACAGAACAAAAATGGCAAGGAACAAACATATTTAAGTTAATACAAATGCTTAATTTTACATTCAAATTCAAAACTGTCACTAATTCATTCACTAAAAACTTGAATTTCAATTAATTTTATTCAGAATTGGTCTGAATAATTTTATTTTGATGTAGTATGATATTGAGATAGGGAAAAATCTCTAATTCCTGAATCAAATTTCAAATCTCACTTGGATGATCTTGGGAAACTTCTCAGTTTTATCTACTTTAAAAGAGCTCCTGGAGAAGACATGTTTACACTTCTGAGCTCATAAGAAATTATCAGTATCTAGGTATAGAGTGTTTGAGCTGGTGAATAGTTAAGAAAAATGGTCCTATTTTCTGGAAGTGAATAATATAAGAAAGGAATCCACTAATTAGAATTTTATAAACATTTGTTTTTCAAAAAAAATTCCCAAAATTTGCTTTATTTACCTTTATTTAGAACAATGTATGTTAGATAAGAAAGTAGAGCAAAATTCAGCAATTTTTTTTCTTAAATATTACATTTTAAAGTTGAGTCACAATAATATCAACCATGTTCCAACAATTATATTTTGACTTAATAAAATGACAGGTGCTTCCTAAAACTACTGATTAAATTAGTTTCTGGTTTAGATGAAAAATAGAAAATTATAATTTAACTGAATACTGTTTTTTAAACTTCCATGCCAATCTGTTACAACATTTGCTTATAAACTGAGCTTTGAGTTGAATTATACAGAAGCAGACAATGTAAATGATTACCCTTGTTCTACGCTGGTATTAGGTCTTTGTCCAGAGACGGACTCTGAGCTGTCAGTTAAAGATGGAACTACAGCCAAAAACCTTTTAAAAATTAAGAAAACAATGCAATTAACAAACCAAACATTCAGATTAGAAATGGACATCAACTCAATAGCAACAAATTAATAGAACACATTCATTAAATAAATGTTACATTTTAATGTTATCACCCACTATATGTTAGCTGCAGATACTCGACCAAGAAAAAAATCATAGTACCTTTGATAGACTTTATTTCTCACTCCTTTTTGAAAAGCCAGGAGGTAGTTGCGTCCATCACCTGAGAATACTTCAACAGCAATTGGCTGTAATAGAAAATGCCTTTTTAAAATGTGTTCCAAGCAGCTGACATTTTTATTCAGCCAAGAAATAAAATTAATCTTTGCTTGAATGAAACAATAAATAAAATAAAAATACCTATATGCAGTCCTATCTGTAAAATATTATTCCCCATTAAACACACAGGATGTTTTTAGGTATCACATATCAAACAAGCATAGTTTTGCATACCCACCTGCAACAAGTATCTTCTTTTATGCACTTCTTTGATGTCTTCATAGGCAAATATACTGCATGTTCTTTTGAGTTGACTTGGACCTTGTCTTGCGCCTCGGGGTATAATAGGCTCGTGCATACTGTAGAAATAAGTGAGAGTAAGATGGAGGATAAAAGTGAAATTATCAATCTACAATGTTGTTCAGTAGATTTTACTTTCTTCATTTTTCACATTTTGTTTCAGTGATCATCATATTTTTAGTGTTATTTATCTCATCGTGCCACAAGTAGAATTAAGAGCAATTTTTTTGTACATTTTGCATATAAATTTTCACATATCTCACATTTTTCTCTTGCACTATCCACTGTGGTAAAGCATTACTCACTTTGGAGGCAGGGTCTCAATGTCCCGTATTTCCCGTGTAGCAGTCATGGTGAATCCATCAATCACATAAAAGTGTTCTTTTCCAAAGAGAAGAAGTCCCTCACTGGTGTCCAATCCTTGAACCCGGGCACAACGATACATGTGTTGTATCTGTAACATTATTTAATCAAGAGCAGATAAAGTCTTATTATATAAAATAATATAAAATATTATTATATATATGGTATTCAGCTTTGTAAGAAAACTATTATTATATATATACATACATACATGCACACACATATAATTTATTATTTTGTTTTAGTAAAAATAGCTTGGAAGAAACTAGAAACTATAAGAAAATAAAACACATCAAGGCCTGCCTACCAGTATTACTTTCAGAAAATAAAATTAACGTTGTATGCTCCTCTCTTATAGATAGAATAATATTCAAATCTTCCAAGGAGGCATGCAAGTACAAAGAATTATGCAGTATTCAAGATATAAGTATATTTTTGTTTTATAGGTTGCAAACAGAATGGCACCAAGCTTATTATAATACGCACACACACACACACACACACACATTCTAAAAATACGAGTTCCAGGTATACTTGTAAAAGAAGAAAACAGACATCTTGCGATCTCCGGAACTTAACATTACATTTATTGTACTTACTAAGCAGACACTGATGAAAGCTTAGTAAGTACAATAAATGTAATTTTAAGTTCCGGAGATCGCAGGATGTCTGTTTCTTATACACACACACACAAAACCTCTTTTTGGTTTTGGAAGAAAATCACTTTAATTCAGGATGAAGTTTCAAGGAAGAAGAATCCTTAAATGACCATTTTATTTCAAGTATAATGACTATAGGTTCACCACCATTTGTGTAGTGATTGTTCAAAGTTACAATTTGAAAAAAGTAACGTGTTACTTTTGCACGCTTAACCACTGTTGCAGCATTCCCCATGGTCACATGATCAAAATTTGGGTGCTTGGCAACTGTCATATATTTATGATAGCCACCCTGTCCTGGAATCATGTAATCATCATTTCTGGCCTTCCCTGCTGGTCAGCACTAAATTGGTGGAATTCTGGGGGTGGGGGGGGCACTTGAAGTGTTTGTGGACATGTAATTCTAGGCCAAGTCCTCTCTTGACTCCCCCCTCGGCTCTGCTGCTGCTTCTCCTAAACTTGACTTTGAACAAATGAATTTGGTGGATAGCTGCAGAAATCCCATGAACTATAGAAAACTCAAAGTATACCGGGCTCTCTTGAAAATGAACTATTTGTGAACAATTAGGAAAATGTTAATAGAATATAAAATAATTTAACTTGGGTTTCAACGATATGGTAAAGAAAAAAGTTAAATGAAAAATGTTGTTTATAAAGACTAGTAATAATTGAATATTAAAAATATTTTAAAAATATAATTCTATGCTGCCTAAAAATACTCAAAATATTTTTATAACAAATCATGTAAATACCCACACAGGTACACTTGATGGATTAAAATTGTAAATGACATTATTCAAAAAGAACAAAAAATACCAAGCTATTAAAAATATGATAGTCTTGGGTAAATTGGCTGCTTTGAAAGAGATGATTCAAGATTATTATTTTACTTCCAATAAAATAAAAATATGGAGCAATTAATTCCTACAAAATCAAAACTAATTTGTTATAAATTTTATTAGTAATATTATATTTGAAGTACATCAGTAATACATTTTATTTAAAATATTTAAATCCATTATCTCTAGCTTTATGTATGTCTATATATTCAAAGTTCACTCAGCAGTTCCCTGGAAATCTGACCATTATTTTTCATCAACTTGCTAGTCAACTTTGATATAAATATATTTAAAGGAGCTTAGCAGACAAAGATGAGCTTAAACTTCAGTGAACCACTGACATCCAATTTAATATTGTTTGTCAAGTCATGAGTTTAATTATTCTTATGGCAAACAAGTAAAAAGAAGAGCTTAACTGGAGATTAAATCAATCCCTAGGCTATTAGCATTCATTAGTATTCACAGTTGTAACAGGATTTTCTGTGGAACATTCTGTCTCAATTAATAAGACAACTTGGTAAAAAGATTCTTCCTTTCATAAAATCACACTTAAGTCCATGTTAATTTGAAAGCGGATGTCTAATTTTAGGAATCTAGTAGTAATATAATAAAAGCTCTGGTGGTGCAGTGCTTAGAATGCAGTATTGGAGGCAGATTCTGCCCACAGCCTGCAGTTTGATCCTGAAAGGCCTCACAGTCTTAACTGTCCATCCTTCCAAAGTGTGGAAAATGAGGACCCAGATTGTTGGGGGCAATATGCTGATATTGTAAACCACTCAGAGAGTGCTGTGAGGCGGTATATAAGTCTAAGTGTTATTGCTATATTCAAGAAGAAGATCTTGTGATGTATAGAACGGAAGTCAATATTATGTACCTTCTCTCCTTCTTCAAGCAGTCGAAGCAAAGTTGTGTTATCAGTTTTTTCCTCTTCATCTATTGAGCTGTTCTCAGCTATTTGATCCTGGAGTTGCTCCTGGTTCTCCTCATCACCCCCATCAGGTGCCGAACGAGATCGCTTTAATGGTGGTTTAACGAGAACTGCATTGTATAACAGAATACATCAACCACATGTTTATACTGTCAACAAGCTTTGTATCGTAGCTGAATAGAGCTGCAAATCAGCAAGTCAACTGAAATAAATGCCTCTTTTACTGCCCTTTTGAGATTTATGGCCATGCCTGTAAAGATCACATCTAAAAGAAGACAAAATTTCAGTGCAACCAGCAGCTACTGATCCAATAAAAAAAAAAGTTAAATCAACATCTCAATTTTACTAAGAGCTGCTTGGTCAAAGGCAGTCAATAGTTCCATTGTGTTGCTTAGCAATGAAACTTAATAAATAATCTTGGCAAATCACAATCTGTCCTCTTAAGCTACTGAAGAGGCCTGCTTTGGGTATAAAATGAGGACATCAGATGTATACTCTTGAGCACCAAAAGACAAGTGAGGTAAAAACGTGAACTGATTGGTTCACACGTGGACCACAAGATACAGTAAAAGCTACAGATGGATGGGAAAGGTTTAGAAATTGGGCCTGGGCAAGCAGTGGATTGATTCGTCCATCCATATAAACAAGAAAGAAAGGATGATAGAATAAAAGTAAAACAAAAAAAAAAAAAAAGAGTGCAAGCCACCTTTGCAATATTTTATGCCTCCTTAGGAGTGTCAAACTCGATCGCATCATGTGACATATTGCGACGGTTTTTGCCTTTGCGGAACTGGGGTGGGTGTGGCCTGCGTGTGAGGCATCCGGCCCCACAAGGTGAAATTAGAGGATCGTATTCTTAATAAAATACCATGACTGCCTTTGGATACTGATTACATATTAAAGGGGGGGGGGGGGGGGGGGAAAATTTCAGCCAAAAAAAAAACGCATTTTGGCCCTAAAATACAAATGGAAAAATGATTCAGCAAAGGAAAATATTTGTAGCTCAGGGTTGAGGTGAGGGGTTCTTGGCGCTCTTTGAACTTGCCTGTTTTCTTGCAGACATTTCATTACCCAGACTAGGTGTTAGTAAAGGAAGAGGGTTTGCTCTCAATTTACATTCCACTGGCTTGCCCTGTCAAGTTTCTTTGACAGGGCAAGATTCTTTGGCTGGGCTGTTTGGTTGGGCAGTTTTACTGTTGACATTTGGATGAAAAATGATTCACTTCTGCCTGTTTATATAAAATAATAGTTCATTAACTATCTCCCCAAAACAGAAAGGTGTCCTTGATAGTTTTAACTTGCCAAATAGACACCAATTCCTAACTGAGGCGGGGGTGGGGGAAACAGGAAAGAAAACACAACCTTTAACTTTTGCGATCGTATCTTCGCCGTGCTCGGGCTCTTGTTGTGCAGCTTCCCCTTCAGAACTCTCTTCAATGGCATCTTGAAAGACAGCTGGGTTTCCAGAAGCCAAGCGCATGTAATATTCTTTGCTGTCATAGCTTATAGCTCTTCGATATCGTGCAGGTTTCTTAAAATATTTGAATAAGAAGATTAAGCAAATTAATACATGTTCTCAAGAAAATCTATCAGGGTGCACACAGACCCTCCTGACAGTCTACAGGTTATAATGAACTTTCAGGCAATCAGTTAGGTTTGGAATTAGAAATTGAAACTATTAAGAAAAGGCAGTGTGACATTACCGTACAATCTCAAACCATTAGTGTGTAGCACAGACAGAGTTAAGAGAGATGTTGTATTAGATCCGCATTTCCCATACTCAGAAACTTTAAGATGTGTGGATTTCAACTCCCAGAATTCCCCAGCCAGCATGTGTGGACTGCAACTCCCAGAATCCTCAATCAGCATGCTGTCAGCCTTGGAAGCCATTTTTTACTTGAAAGCTTCGAGGCTGCCACATTCAGTGCCTGGGAATTTGGGAGGGGAATTTCATAATGAGGTAGAAGATTAGACTCAACAACATTCTTTCTCAGAAAGAAATTTTTCTGGTGGCAATTTTTCTTTTTTCCTTGAAACTTTTTTTCCTTTTTAAATTTTGGGCTTTTTGGTGTTTTTTTTTTACTGATTTTTCTTTTTTACGTTTTTCCTTTCCCTAATTGGATTATAATTGTTACACTGCCAACTGGATTAAAAGAGTGGGAAGATTCCGAGTTATTCAAATGAGTAAGAAAGTTCTACCTTCTGGCGCATCAACTTCTGCTCCTGCCTCCCCATCAATTGGAGGACGACTTTCAACAATGGCGAAGCAAGATAAAGGACAAACGGATCTAACGACGGTTATGCAAGGAATTCAAGAACTTAAAATGAGTATTGAACAAAGGATGGGGAGTATTGAACAAAAAATTGAAAATATCCAACAGATGATGGCGAAGTATGACGAGAAACTACAAAAAATGGAAGAGAAAGACAATCAAAGAGATGAGAAATTGCAAAAATTAGAAGAGAAAGACAATCAAAGAGATGAGAAAATTGGAAATATTGATGACAGAGTGACAACGCTTGAACAAAACAAGAATGAGATGGTGAAGTGGGAGATGGATAGATCAGAATATTACCTCAGATTTCAAAATATAGAGGAAGAAAAAGGACAAGATCTTGCTGCAGTAATGATAGAAATCTTGGCTGGAGCTTTGGAAATAACAGAGGAAAAAATGATGGATGGAATAGATGAGATATACCGAGTTTTTACAAGATATGCATCGAGGAATAAGTTACCAAGAGAAGTTCATGTTAGATTTACTAAAAAATCTATCAGAACGCAGATATTACAAGCGGCAAGAGAGAAGACATTGAAATATGGAGATAAAGAGATTGGGGTTTTAAAACAAGTACCCAGAAAAATTAGAGAGATGAGGAGAGAATATCGTTTCCTGACTAAAGTATTATTGGAAAAGGAGGTGAATTACAGATGGTTGATTCCAGAAGGATTAATGGTTACATGGAAAGAACAGAGATACAGAATTGGCTCAATTGATGAAGCAGAATCGTTTTATAAGGAATTTTTTAAAAGAAGAGAAACAGAGATAGAAGAAGAGACTACCTTAACTGAATTTCAAGAGGACCAAATAGAGATGGGAAAAGAAGAAGGTGCAGTAGGTGGACAAGTGGAGACTAAAGAACAACGTGAAGTAAGATCAACGAGAGCCGTTAGACCTAAATATAAATCATAACTATGGAGGAAAAAAAATTGATTTCTTTGAATATAAATGGACTGAATTCAGCTACTAAAAGAAGGAAAATTTTTCATAAAATAGAGAAATTAAAATTTGATATAATTTGTTTACAAGAAGTACACATTAAAAAACAACATCAACAATTATTGGTGCGACCAAAAATAGGGAAAATTTTTACTTCTTTGGCCCAGTGTAAGAAAAGAGGAGTGGTATTGTATATTAAAGAAACCATTTCAGCAAAATTGATTTATACTGATGAAGATGGAAGAGTATTAATGGTTGAAATAGTGGATAACAATACAAAGATACTTTTGGTTGCAATCTATGCTCCGAATGATAAACAAAAAAGATTCTATAAAAAGTTACATATGAAAATAATTGAACTGGACTACGCTAATATATTTATAATGGGAGATTTTAATGGAATTGTAGACAATGAATTGGACTACACAGCAAAAATAACACGACAAAATAGGAAGATCCTCCCTAAATCCTTTTTTGAAATGATAGAGGAATTAAATCTAAAAGATATATGGAGAGAAAGAAATACTAAAACTCAACAATATACTTTCTACTCGAATAGACATTCATCATGGTCCAGAATAGATATGATCTGGACGTCAACAGAATTATTATCTAATATTCAAGAAATAAATATTGAAACAAGTACATGGGCAGATCACAACCCAATGACAATTAAATGGAAAGGACAAAAAAGAAGATCTAGATGGACATTAAATAATACTATTTTAAAGGAAAAAGATTTTATACAGTGGATGGAAAAAGAACTGGCCTTCTTTTTTAATGAAAACAGAAAAGAAGATACTTCAATACAGAATGTTTGGGACACAATGAAGGCATATGCAAGAGGACTGATAATGGAATACACAAAGAAAAAAAATATTAGAAAGAGGCAAATGATTAAAACTTTAGAAGATGATTATAAAAAATTGGAAAAAGAATTACAGAGAATGCCACAGAAAAAAGATATTAAATTTAAAATGGATATAATTAAACATAAAATGGATCAAACAGAGAAAGAAGAACTGGCGCAAAAAATTAGAAGTGCTAAACAGAACTATTTTGAGGATGCAAACAGGCCAGGTAGATGGTTAGCATACAAACTGAGAAAAGAGAAAGAATCAAGGAGAATACCACAGTTAATGGATGAACAGGGTCTAGTCTGTCATGGTAATAAGGAGAAAAAGAGAATTATTCGAGATTTTTATGCGCAATTATATAAGCAGGAGGATTTTGATGAGGGGAAAATTAAACAGTATTTACAAAATGCCAACCTACCCAAGATATCTGATGAAACTGGGAAAATGTTGGAAAATCCTATAACAATGATGGAATTAACTGAAGCACTTAATAGACAGAATAACGGGAAAGCACCAGGACCAGATGGTTTCCCGGCAGAATTTTATAAAACATTACAAGAATCACTGAGCATTTCAATGTTAGAAATTATGAATGAAGTTATGATAAATAAGAAAATACCTAAAACATGGTCAGAAGCTTATATTACGCTTATTCCAAAAGAAGGGACTGACCCATCACAAATTAAGAATTATAGACCTATTTCTTTATTGAATGCAGATTATAAAATCTTTGCTTCAATTTTGGCAGAAAGGCTTAAAAAATACTTAAATAATTTTATTCATTCTGATCAGAATGGATTTCTACCAAAGAGACAAATTAAAGACAACATGAGAGTAATTTTGGACACTTTGGAATATTATGAGGCACACCCTGAAAAGCAAATGGCTTTGATATTTTTAGATGCTCAAAAGGCATTTGATAACGTGAATTGGAGATTTATGTTATTATTATTGGAACAGATGGGTTTTGCTAGAAAATTTATTCAAGCAATAGAAGCTATATATTATAAGCAAACAGCAAAAGTGATGATAGATGGAGAATTTACAGACTCTATCAATATTAAAAAAGGCACAAGACAAGGATGTCCACTATCCCCTTTGTTATTTGTATTGACTTTGGAAGTATTAAATAGAAATATTAGAGAGGATATAAATATAAAAGGAATGAAAGTTAAAAAGGAGGAATTTAAATTGCAAGCCTTTGCGGACGATTTGGTCTTTATTCTGGAAGATCCTCTAGAGACAGCTTTAAAACTACTGGAAAAGATAGAGACGTATGGTGAGATGGCTGGCTTGAAAATAAATAAAGACAAAACAAAGATTCTGACAAAAAATATGTTATTAAGGCAAAGAGAAGAGTTGGCAGACTTATTGAAAATTCAAGTTACGAATAAAGTTAAATACTTGGGGATAATTTTGACGTCAAGATGTACTACACTGAAAGAGAATAATTATATTAAACTTAAACAGCAGATAGCATCTGACTTGAAAAAATGGGGAAATCTACAATTATCTTTGATAGGTAGAATCTCAACAATTAAAATGAATATTTTACCCAGAATTTTATATTTGTTTCAAACAATACCAATTAGGCTTGGTAAAGACTATTTTGATGAATTAAATAAAATGGTGTTGAAGTATATATGGCAAGGTAAGAAAGCGAGAATAAAATTAAAACTTTTACAGGATGCTAGAATTAGAGGAGGATTTGGCCTTCCTAATTGGGAGTTGTATTATCAAGCTGCAAATTTAATGTGGGTTAAAGAATGGATAACGTTAAGAAAGTCTAGATTACTGGCACTGGAAGGACATGATTTATTATTGGGTTGGCATGCTTTTTTATGGTATAAGGGAACTAAATCGCAGGGTTATTTCAGAAGGCACTATATACGGGAATCGTTATGGTTGAATTGGGAGAAAATTAAGAAACAATGTTATTTGAAAATTCCAGTTTGGTTATCAACTATTGAAGCTTTTTCCTATCCCATAATTTATAAGAAGGAACAAACAGTTAGATATGGGGAAATACTGGATGAAAAGGGTGAACTTAAAACGATGCAAAAGCTAGAAGAACAAGATATAAAGATGAATTGGTTTTCATATGCGCAAATACACTCAAGGTATCTTAAAGATTCTAAAACAGAAGGATTCTATGATAAATTGACTGATTTAGATGGGATTTTGACAGGTGCTGATGAAAAAGTGATTAAAAAACTATATAGTTATTTGTTGGAAATTAAATTAGAGGAAGAACAAGTCAAAGAAACAATGATTGTTTGGGGGAAGAACTTTGGATATGGGATTGATTTAGAAAAATGGCAAAAATTGTGGTCTCAAAATTATAAAATGACAATGTCAGTAGCATATAAAGAAAATTTGTATAAGATGTTTTACAGGTGGCATTTTCCCCCGACAAGAATAGCAAGAATGTTCAAGAATAAATCCGAAAAGTGTTGGAAATGTCATCAGATCCCTGGCTCATATTACCATATGTGGTGGACTTGTGAGGAGGCCAGGAAATACTGGACTAGAATTCGCATATGGTTGGAAGAAATGACAAAAAAACATATAGATTTGAAACCAGAGATTTTTCTATTGGGAATCTTACCTGATACATTTAATAAAAACTTAAAGTATTTGATTGTAAATGTGTTAACAGCGGCTAGGATTGTATTTGCTAGAAATTGGAAGAGTGAGAAAATACCATTAGAGGAAGAAATTATTAAGAAAATATTGGAATGTGCTGAAATGAGTAGATTGACATTTGAAATTAGAGAACAAGAAGATAAACAATTCTATGAAGTTTGGGATCTTTTTTATCAATGGTTAGATAAAACAATATAATAATAGAATATATATATATTTTGGTTTTGATAATATTTTTAGAATATTATATTAAGATAGATTTGGTATGATTTTACGATTTGTTATAAATTAACTAAATTATAGTTATCTCGCTTAAGCATGAATTAGTTAAATTATAGTCAAATGATTGTTTAATAAGGATATTAGGATATATAATTATTGATTGATAATATGAGCTATTATGTAATATAATTATTATGATGACTATGAAATAGATGCACAAAAAGAAGTGATAAATCAACCGATACACTGTCTGTAAATTTATGAAGAATGATGATGTTCTTATGTTATGTTTTATGTTTTATGTGTTTTTATTTGTTGTTAAAATCAATAAAACTTTTTTTAAAAAAAAAAAAACAACATTCTTTCTCAGAGAGTCAAGGACATGTTGCCCTGCACCTGGAGGGGAGTGACTGGAGGGATGTCTCCAGCTGGAACGAAGATTTGATTGGGCCATGAGATGGACTGATGGCTGCAGGGGTTGGATCTTTGATTTTCTTTTGGGAAGGGAAAACCCGGGACTCTCAGATTTGGGTTTTCCCAGATGTGCCAATATGACAACTGTAAAAAAAATGGGACTTTGAAGAAATGTCTGTCTCTGAGTTTATTGGTTTGGAATTGGTTAGTTGAAATGCTGACACATGCATGGGATACCAACTCCCAGAACTCTCCAGCCAATATGTGCATGGAGTTGAAGTCCATGCATTTAAAAGTTGCTGAGGTTGGGAAACGCTGTATTAAATCAAGACGTGAAGAGAATACAGCAACACCCCCTGAAGTGTATATTTACTGTAGATCGTTAATCTTACAACAACAGAATTACTGAGAAAGCACAAAAAGCCAACCATGGAAGCTTTGTTACGATTGCCTAACATGCAGAGAGATTTCTAGCTACTCGGCCACCCGTGGATATCTTTTTCTTTCTTTACCTTTTGGGGAATGGCATCGTCAGATGTCTCCGGAGCCTTACTTGAGAAGTCAAACTGAAAACAGGGCATTAAATATGAAAACATGAGGGGAAAATAAATCACTCTAAAGAACGAATGTTGGCACAATGATGGCATGTTCACTTGGCTAAAACTATCAGAATCTATTTTGATCAAGCCTTCAAAATACCACAATGAATCTTTCTTTTCTCTGCATCATGGATTGTGAGGCGGGGGAGGGGAGGGCGGAAATGACACATCAGCATTTGATCCATTAAAAATAGTTAGAACTGAGGTTAAACTCTATTTCAGGGGTGTCAAACTCGCGTCATCACGGTGGCGTCATGTGACATATCACAACTTTCTCCCCTTTCGCTAAACTAGGTGTGGGCTTGACCAGCTCGCGACGCATCCAGCCTGCGGGCTGTGAGTTTGACACCCTTGCTCTACTTAATTGCAAATGGATATATGATCTGAATCAATAATCTAGGAAAAAAATTGCACATAGAAGTAGTCCTCGATTTACAACAGTTCGTTTAGTCACCGAGGTTATAACAGCACTGAAAAAAAGTGACTTATGACAGTGTTTCACACTTACAACCATTACAGTATCCCCATGGCCATGTGATATAAATTCAGACGCTTGGCTACTGGTTCATATTTATGACAGATTGCAGTGTCCCAGGGTCATGTGATCACTTTTTGTGACCTTCTGATAAGCAAAGTCAATGGGGAAGCTGAATTTATTTAACAACTGTATTACTAACTTAACTACTGCATTGATTCTTTTAACTGTGGCAAGAAAGGTGTAAAATGCGGTAAAACCTAAGAACTGTCTTGCTCAGCAACAGAAATTTTGGGCTCAATTGTGGCCATAAATTGAGGAGTATCTATTTAGTATTTTAGCAATTCTCAATTAATACTCTCAATGTTCAGTCTGCAAGTACAACAGATTATTAAAAGCCAGGCTTCTAACATCCAAATATGGATTATCACCTTCCCATGTGTTTTTGATCAGTCCAGCTCCACCTGTATTAGCTTTTAATTCAGCAGATTAAATGTAAATGATCAATCCTGTATGGTAATCTACTAGTGGCTCATTATATTTCATATTTTTGCTGCCTGCCTAGAAGTATAAATACAAGGAAATCACAAACCATCTTTCAGGTGGCTTGAGGCATCATATAGATCTGGTCTGCACATTAGGACAGGAGTCCCCAACCCTGGGTTATGGGCCACTACTGGGCCATGGCCTATTTGGAACTGGGCTGTGTGTCAACTCATAAAATATTTCTCTGGTCTTTTAGAGTTGCCAACAGAAAGGGAGGTGGGGGTAGTGTAGCAGCTGCAAAAACAAAACTGCATTCCATGGATGTTTCATAGATAGTTTCCAGGCGACCAAAGTTTCTGCCGTGCAAAATTCTAACTGGAGAGTATGATTGATGACTTTTGGCTATGGATGTGTCCCATTGGAGAATATGAATTATGATACACCCAGGGGGTGGGGGAAAACCAGGGTCAAGGGTGACAATGAATGATGTGTCTCAGAGTTGGCTACACCCAGGCAGCACCAGCATGTCTTCTCCTAATAAATCTTTGAGCTTTGAAAATCAGGCTAGACACTCATGATTTAAATGGAGGTCACTACTGGAGCTCTGACACTGGCAGCGTCAGGCCGGCGCATGTTGGCCTGAGCTGTGTGCATGTGTGCAGACACGCAGGTCTGCCACACGCATAGCACCATTCCCCTCTCTCCCTTTCAGGTGGGCTGCCAAGCCACAAAGGTTGGGGACCGCTGCATTAGGACAGAGAACAAGACACAGGTGACTTGACTTTGGTTACGCTCTGACTGAAAGATGGAACAACTGGATTGTAGAAAAAGAAACTCAAGGGAAAAAAGCTATAGAGCTGATGTAGCTCAGGCAGCAACCCCAAACATTTGTTGATGACAATCTCTTAAGAGATAAATCAACCTCTATCAATAACCCAACAGCAATGCCCTCCCAGAAAACTTCAATAAATCCACAGCCAATGAATATTAATGGCCAATAAATATAGGTTGCATTACAGATGACAGTCATTGCTATGAACGTTATTTACAATGATACAAGCAATCAAATAGTGTTCTAATCTACAAATAAGTTCTCTCATGCATTTATGCTTACCAGCAAATTAGTCTCATGTTCAGTATCCGGCATGTAAGGATACTGCACGTAAAACATGTCATTTCGTACCATCTTCTTCCTCATCCGGCACGGCCCTTCTGTCATTTCCAGCATCCATTTGTCCAGGTGAGAACCGATGGGAGGTCCCCAAAGGCCCCTCTCCCGTAACAACTCATATTCAATTAAAGACCACTCCTCTGTCACGTACTTCAAGGCATTTTGCTGACGCTAGAAAAAGGAAAGACAGGGTCAGCTGTCATTTTATCATTAGCCACCTTCTACAGTAATTCTACTGCAAACCTCTCATGACTTAAGGCAAAGAAAACAAATAAACGAACAAACCACAATGAATTCCTTGAACCTTTAAAAAAAAAAGCTTAAAGATTTGCAGTTGAAGATTTAGCGGGGTGGGCAGCTGGGGGTTCACAGGGGTCCGGGAGAACCCCTAGCTAAGATTCTGCCGTTCAGAGAACCCCCAAATCCCACTCCTGGCTGGCCCCACCCACCCCACCCCTCCCTTCCCCGGAGTCCCTACATGGCCCGTTTTGGAGGCAGGTAAGTGCAGGGTGTGTGCAGAGGCTTGGGGAAGGCGAAAAATGGGCCTCCCAGAAGTTCAGGAAGGCCGGAAACATTTTTTGGCTTCCAGAGAGCCTCCGGAGCCTGGGGAGGCAGTTTTCGCCCTCCTGGAGGCTCAAGAAAAGCCTCCGGAGTCTGGGGAAGGCAAAAACACCCCTTCTCCGCTGTGGTGCAGGAGGCCGACTAGGCCATGCCCATGCCTACCCAGCAACTGGGCAGAGAGCCCCCTGCTAAATTTTTTGAAGCCCACCCCTGTTTAGATGCCCACCTTACCTATGGAGTTTATAGTTAAAGCTAAGATCTATTCTTGAAGGAGCTTTTACTATTAGATTTGTAAATGTCTATGATATTTACAGTCATCCAGGTTCATGGTTGTCCCAAAGGTGCTTTTTTTCCCCCCAGAACTGAAAAAAGTTTCCTCTTCAGTTCTTCAGAAGAAGCTTCCTGGATAAGAAGCAAAACATCTTCAAGCAAATATGGATTCACTTACCTCTTGATATTCTTTATATTGCATGTCTACCAAGTCTTTGACCACAGCAATGTGAGTAAACATCCACTGAGAAATCTCCTAAGGGTAAGAATACAAATATTATCGTAGACATATTTATAATGATAATATTATTATTATTGTTAATTTTGAACTTGTTTTGCCTTTTATTAATTCTGTTAAGTTACCTGTGTTGATAGATTATGTTTACTAAGTCCACTTTCTTTTCTGTTTCTTCTTGATCCGGTTAGTTTGGAGAGGCCAAAACCACTGCTGACTCGAGATAACTTTGATTGAGTTGCTGGAATCAATGCTTCTCCTCTACTGATGCATTTCTTTTCATGAGCTGGAAGATAAAACAATTGATCAAAATGCAATAACTGTACTTTACAACTCCCCAGATAGAAATTATAAGTTATGTCAACTGCAAGAAAACTTGTATCAGATGTTTTATAGATGGCATTTAGCACTGGCGAGGTTGGCAGGGATGTTTAAAGATAAATCAGCTAAATGTTGGAAATGCCACCAAACACCTGGGTCATATTATCATATGTGGTGGACATGTGCAGAACCTAAAAAAATATTGGGACAAAAATGCATACATGGTTGGAAAAGATGATACAAGAGCATATTAATTTAAAACTTGAAATATTTCTGTTGGGGATTTTACCTGAAATTTATAGTAAAGAGAATGTATATTTGATTATTAATGTATTAACTAGAATTAGCTAGAATTGTATTTGCTCAAAATTGGAAAAGTGAAGAGTTTCCTACTGATGAAAATGTGATCAGAAAAATATTAGAATGTGCAGAAATGATTGGATTAACACTTGCAATTAAAGAGAAGGAGCAAACTGAATATTATAAGATATGGGAACTATTTTATCGATGGCAAGAAAAAATATGAAAGCTAGAAATAGCTAATAGATTAGTGAAATATAGAAAATATGTTAATAAATTAAACATGTTAAAAAGAGGAGTGTTATAGTAATAGAGATATTATGTATATTAACAAGATAAGAATAAGAATAGAGAATACTAAATTATGAACATGGATGTAAACTTTAATTGTTACTGCACAAGATATTTGTACCCAGATGATACACCATTAAATGGAAGATGAATTGTATGTACTTTAAATAAAATTTAAAATTTTACCCCCCCCCACCCCCCCCCCCCCCCAAAAAAAAACCATTACCATCTAATATAATCCAGACTGTCATGTTGTTCTACAAAGTTTCCAAGGAAATTTCAACAAAACTTCAGAGATCTACTTGCTTATAAGACCCAAATTAAGTTTTGGTTGGATTCAGAGCCCATTGCACTTCTACAGAGATCACACTATAGCATGGGTGTCAAACTCAGAGCGTCCCATTACCGTCACATGACATTTCATGACGTTTTCCCCATTCGCTGACCTGGGGGTGGGGGTGGCCTGTGCATGACACATCCGGTCTGCGGCCCGCCAGTTTGACATCCCTGCACTACAGGAAACTTCCTTAGCAGAGTTGGTTAAGGGATTTCCTGGACCAGATGATTCCAGCACAGTTTGGAAGAAAAACTGTAATGTTCAGGTGTGGACAATCGTGCTCTGGAGACCTTTAGAACTATGAGTGTGTTTGATTCGAAAAATGCTGAACTCCAAGCACTCAAGTTCAAGTTCAAAGCCATTGTTTCAAAAATCTAAATGGGCTAGTCCGAAAATTCTGGAGACATTTCAAGTATAAAATGTTTTAAGTACAAAACATTTTGGACATCATTTCACAGAACAGATTATGTCCTAAATTCCAAATCGGAGCATTAAATCCCCCCCCCCCACCCTTTGCTCTTACCTAAGTGATTCTGCCAACATTTTAAACTGGCTTCTTCAATAAGAGACTTTGCAACTGCCATATCCACATGGCCTCTGTCATTGACCGGAAGGGATACTTTGAAAGCCTCCTCCAAAACTTGTTTCTTGGTGTAGATCAACTCTGTCCACACGCGATTCACAGCTTTAAGGAGAAGCTGGCGACCTACATATGCAAACAGAACAAATAAACTGGGATCAACTATGAAAATCACAGCCCTGAAAAAACTGCTGAGAGCTAAGTATAGTAAGACATTCATCTAAGCATCATTTTAGCATTATTGCTGTACAATTTGCAGCGATTAAGTGCCAACATGATCCAGGAAAATATCTGTAGCAACATAACTTTTATTTGAAAAGCAATCAGTTCTAATGCCAGAGACTTGCCATGTCAACTTAAGGCGAGATACTAATGTAAAGAAAAGATGATAACACGCAATTTCTGTAAGCTTACAATTTAACTCAAGAGTTCTCTCTAGAAAGGACCTGCCCTTTTTTCCAACTCTGACTTTGGAGCCACATAAAGCTTAGTACAGGTGGTCTTCAATTTACGGCCACAATTGGGACCAGAATTTCCATTGTTAAGCAAGGTGGTTGTTAAGTGAGTGGTGCCCAATTTTGATTGTTAAGTGAATCACTGCAGCTATTAAGTGAATCACACGGTTGTTAAATGAATTCAGCTTCCTTCACTGACTGCTTGTTGGAAGCTGTCAGGGAAGGTCACAAATGGTATCACAAATGGGATTGCTGCAACCATCATAAACACATACCGGTTGCCAAGAGACTGAATTTTGGTCACATGGCCCTAGAGATGCTGCGGCAGTCATAGGTGCGAGGACCAGCTGTAAGTCATGTTTTTCAGTGTTGATGTAACTTTGAACAGTTGCTAAACAAATGGTCGTAATTCGAGGACACCCTGTACTTGGATATTTGACAGGCTAACTTTCTTCTAGGTTGAACTCAGCCACCCAAACAAAATGGAAATACCCCATTCCACACGTTGGAATCCAAGAGATGGCATTTTTGTTAGAATGACAACAGCACTTAGATTTTACAATCTAAGTACATATATACTTTACACACA